TTGTGATTGGAGATATTGAAGGTGTTACAACCGACCCGTGTTGCAACTGTCCTTGGTCTCCCCTACTCAGATCTTGTACTTTAGTAAAAGTAGAAGTACTCAGATCTTGTACTTGAGTAAAAGTAAAAGTACTCAGATCTTGTACTTGATTAAAAGTAGAAGTACCAGAGTGTAGGAATACTCTGTTTCAGTAAAAGTCCTGCATTCAAAATGTTCCTCAAGTAAAAGTAGAAAAGTATTCTCATCAAAATATAGTGAAAGTAGCGACAGTAAAAGTAGTCGTTGTGCAGATTGGTCCATTTCAGAATAATATATATGATATGTTTTATAATGATTGATCATTAAAGTTTTCTCAAAGCTGGTAAAGGTGCAGCTAGTTTGAATGACTTTGTATACTGCAGGGTAGCTTGTGGATTTACTCCAGGTGGAACTAAAGTCTGATATAACACTTATATTTCACATCATTCATCCAGATCTGTGAAGTAACTAAAGGTATTAAATACATGTAGTGGAGTAGAAGTACACCATGTACCTCTGAACTGTAGTGGAGTCGAAGTACACCATGTACCTCTGAACTGTAGTGGAGTAGAAGTACACCATGTACCTCTGAACTGTAGTGGAGTCGAAGTACACCATGTACCTCTGAACTGTAGTGGAGTCGAAGTACACCATGTACCTCTGAACTGTAGTGGAGTCGAAGTACACCATGTACCTTCAGGTTCAGGTTATAGTTAGAGAAAAAGACAAGGGTTCCATCCTGACACTAAAAACAAATACAAACAACAGACACATCTCTAATAAAGGACTAGTAAAAGTACAAGTATACCCTGCTCAACCAAATCTCAAAATATATAAAAAACATTTTAAGAAGGAAAACACTAGTACAAACATGGACATTCAAAATTCACAATTAAATAAATAAATAAAAATAGGCATCTGTGTGACGCTCCTATGATGTGTTAATTTGTGCAATAGCTGCTGGGATAAAACTGTTTTTATACCGCTTCGTTCTACTCCTTGGGACAAGTAACCTCCGGCCCGAAGGAAAAAGCTTGAATTCTGAGTGCAGAGGGTGGGAGTCATCGTCTAATATGGAGCTGGATAACCGCTGTAACTGCCTGAGGTACAGGGTCTCCAGGTTTAGCTGTGGCTCACCAATCAGTCTGCTGGACCACTTTATGATCTGACTCAGAGTTTTTGCTCTTTAAAGTCAGGTTACCAAACCATGACATTAGTGAAAAAGACAGAATTGACTCGATAAAAGCACGATAAAACAATGAACTGTAGTGGAGTAGAAGTACACCATGTACCTCTGAACTGTAGTGGAGTCGAAGTACACCATGTACCTCTGAACTGTAGTGGAGTCGAAGTACACCATGTACCTCTGAACTGTAGTGGAGTAGAAGTACACCATGTACCTCTGAACTGTAGTGGAGTCGAAGTACACCATGTACCTCTGAACTGTAGTGGAGTCGAAGTACACCATGTACCTCTGAACTGTATTGGAGTAGAAGTACAAAGTAGCAAAACATTGAAATACTTAATAAAGTACAAGTATCTCAAAACTGTACCCCCGTATAGTACTTGTTGAGTTTATGAACTTAGTTACTTTATACCAGTGGCTATAAAGATAGAAAGACTAAGCCTTGCACAGAGGCATGAAAATACATTTTCAAAAAATGCTCAACAGTGCTGCCAGAATTATAAACTGACTGCTACACAATTAAAATAAATGCTTTTATATATTTCTATTAGATGTGACTCTTTGGCGTTTCTGTTATTATTGACACTGCTGCTTTAGTTGTTCTGACTGCTAACATCCTGTTAGTCCTCATTTTAAAGCCGATATTCCGTGGGGTCGGGGGCTCGGATCCTTGTCACCTTTTTAATACCTGATGAGTTTGCATCCCTGACTACAGTTGCTTCAGCGTGTAGAAGCTAGTAAGCCTACTATTTGATTTGTTTTAGATAGGCACAACATGTTTCATATGCAGACCTTATTTTCCTGTTCCATGTTCAAATAAACCATTTTCAGTGGTAATTTTTTTTGGTCATGGAAAATTAGGTAAAGGTCATGGAAAAGTCATTGAAAATCATTGGTGAAAAAGTGTATGAACCCTGTATATAGTGTTACTTCATTTCCCAAGTACAGTTCATTTACAATGAAGAAAACACATTTCATGAATATATCCTTTTATATGCAAACAACAGTACCTCATATTTTCGAAGGATCTTAAAAACTGGATGATTAAAAACTATAAATATTGTTACCCAAAAAATGCCTTATATCACCCATCTGACAGAGAAGTGGAAATATATAATCATTTTAAGATAGATAGATAGAATCGGAGGGATGAAACCCTCATTAATGGTCACACATGCAGAGCACACAGCACACACAGTGACATTTGTTCTCTGCATTTAACCCATCCTAGTACCAGGAGTCTAGTACTAGGTTGTACTAGATCAGTCATGTAGTATTTTTGCCCAGGCAGCATTTTAACTACTTCTCCTTTCAGGATTTCCTCCTCTTCGCCAGTTATTTCCTGTTTTCCCCGCTCTTCTCTCAGCTGTTCTTAGTTGTGTTTTTAGATGCTTTTCCTACCCAACAGAGGGCGCTCTCGCCACGTGTTTTAAAATCAGGAGCAGGAATGCGAGTCAGTGGCACAGTGATGTCATTCAGCAGCAAGGCTGGGCTGCACTTGAGGGAGGCACCCAGAGGTGACGGCACTGAGGGATGGGTGATTCCTCACACGTGTCCCCCTCCCTGATGTGAGGTTTCACAGATTTACCTCATCTCTAAAAAACGTGACCTTTCATACGTCAACTCTTATTAATGTAGAGCTACATTGGGGCGGTGCATTAAGTCAGCAACTTTGTCTCGTCTCCAGTGTAGCAGGGTTCGTTCTGTTAGCAAATGTGATGTGTCACCCTGGTAAATTTCCATATGTGGTTCAGCTGCTGACGGTGTGTGTATGTGTGTGTGAGAGAAAAAGTGCTGACTCTCTTCAACATACAGGCTTTTTTTAATGTTGGCTTTAAGAGAGAGAGAGAGAGAGAGAGAAGGATGAAAGTGTCTGCCAGAGTCCCACAGCAGTCCGCACTCACTTCCTGTCTACCACCCTGCCTCTGACACACACACACACACACACACACACACACACACACACACACACACACACACACACACACACACACACACACATACACACACACACTGACAGAGGTTTTAGTTATACTAGCACAAGAGCAGCAGAGGTTTAGAAATCTATATCATGTCAGGTCCCTCCCTTCTCCTCTCGTGTGTTTTCCTTTCATCGTCTTTTCTTCATTTAACTGTGCTGGTTCTTCTCTTTGTTCACTCTCTACCTCTTTTTGTCTTCACCTTTCTATTTTTGTCTATCCTCTGTTTTTCCTTCTTTTGTCTGCATTTCAGAGACTCTGTGATCCTTTTGCCTCCATATTAATATCTTTTGCTGAGTTCTGCCTTTGTTCTCCTTCCCTTTATCACTCTGTCAGCCTCTCTGTCTCACCTCCTCTTCCACTCTTCTCACTATCGCCTTCTCATCAGTCACTTCAAAAGCTGTCGTTTGAAATGGGACTAAGACAGGAAGCAGCGTTGGGAGGAAGAGAGATGGGAAGTACAAGGGCCAGAGTTGTTCAGGGCAAACTGAAACCCTGACAATAGGAAACAACAACTACACTGAACAAAAATATAAACGCAACACTTTTTTTTTTGCTCCCATTTTTCATGAGATGAACTCAAAGATCTAAAACATTTTCTATATACACAAAATAACCATTTCTCTCAAATATTGTTCACAAATCTGAAATAATCTGTGATAGTGAGCACTTCTCCTTTGCCGAGGATAATCCATCCCACCTCACAGGTGTGGCATATCAAGATGCTGATTAGACAGCATGATTATTGCACAGGTGTGCCTTAGGCTGGCCACAATAAAAGGCCACTCTGAAACGTGCAGTTTTGCTTTATTGGGGGGGTCTGGGGGGGTCCGAAAACCCTTTCTGTCAAGCCTCTTTCACAGTATGCAGACTTACTATACAGGTCTCTGACAAAATAGTGTGAACATGTCCTTAACTGCGATCTGATCACTCAAAGTTTTAAGTAACAGAACAAATTGTGATGGTCTGTGCTAATGACTTGTCAAGTAGCTATGAAGACATTGTTATTTCTAAAAAATATATATTTTAAAATAACACTACACTACAGTCTGTGATTTGCCTACAGTCCAACTGTCAACATTAATTATAATAAACACTTAAATCACTAGCAGATTCGTTTAGATCTGAGCAGCGCTACACCAGAAGTGTGAGAAAGGGATCTAATGACCATTCACGTCACTTTCAGTCTGCAGACATGAATTCCTGTTAGTGCGCTTCAGTAACCCCTAATTGCTCCAGTAACCCCTAATTGCTCCAGTGTAGCTTTTTATTTGTTGACACTGGAGGACACACACTCTGAGTTTAATACAGGGGTAAACTGAATGAATGTGAAGCAAGGTCTAGCAAGAAGATAAGTATGACATTATTACTTCCAAAGGAAAGGATTTTGGCAGCTGTTGCTCAAATATTAAAATAATATAAAAATTAAAACCCTTTAGAGAAATAAAGATGAATGATCAGATATAGCAAAAATATAATAGGGAAGTAATACAGCATTTGATATTGAGAATATTTCATTCAATTTGTTGTGTAACATACTAGGTATTCATTATGACTGGTCTTTTCGATCTGTTTTTGGTCTGAAAAACACACACTGTTTGACATCAGTCCTTCATTTATTAAGAGTTTTCAATCTGTCAACTTAAGACTGCTCCTTACACCAGTAGCATAAAACATTTCAATAGTCCCGTTTCTTAAAAGTAATATTTTCAAAAAAAAGGCATCATTTATTTTTATTTATTTTTTATTTCCAAGGAAACTTGGTATAAGTCATTCATGTATTTCTCTCACCATGTCTGATGATGTCATCCCTGCAGGGCTTCCTGATTGGTGCACGACCAGAAAATGCGTGCCAGCCCATCGAGCCTCCGCCCAGGGACAACCTGACGGGGGCCTTCATCGTCCTCATCAAACGCTTCGACTGCAACTTCGACATCAAGGTACAGGGTTACACTGGTGGTGTGTTATAGACAGAAGTCCTTCCTGACCAGGCCACACCCTTAACCAACGTCATCCATCGCTAGTTTGATCCAAACACAACTATATCAACTTTATTTCATAACATAACTTGTTTTGTTCAGACAGGGAATTATGGCCCCTCTATTCACTTACAGGCTTCCTGTGCTTTTTTGGTCATTTTAGTGCCTAGCAAACATAGACAGCATCACTTATTTCAGCAGATGTTAATCATAAGGTCAAGCATCCAAAACAGTGTGTGAGGTAGAGTACACTTATGTGTGTTGCCTCACACTGCAATTATATCAGATCAAGTCTGGTTGCAACAGGAAAACAGGAAGTGGCCATTTCCCTAAACACATTTCCTGCAAGAGCATGTATCCCACTCCACTGCCTTGTCTAGTTTTGCGTGTGATGCAGGACTTGTGGAGCTGGAATGTTGTGTTTGCCTTATAAGCAGTGAAGTGGTTGAAAGATGGAACGAGAGACCGATCTGTTGAGGCACAATGCAGTGTTCAGGGTGGTGAAGGAAGGATACGTTTTGTGTATTGATATTTTCGCTTAGTTTAGCAGTATAGACAAAAACAACGCACGTGCCTTGTTTGCTACCGTTGACAGACTAACAAACCCCCCAGTGTCAGTAGCCTCTGAATTTCTATCCACCAGGGCCTGCAATGAATTTGCCTCCTTCTTCACTGACAAAATTCAGACAATTAGACAAGCAGTCAGTGCTTCTGTATCAGGTACAGCAAATGTTTTGTCCCTGTGTCCACCTAAAATCAATTCAGACATCATGACACAATTCCATCAGATTAATGATATAAAAACCTAGAGGACATTATTCAACTTCTGAAATCCTCCTCTTGCTGCCTTGATATGATTCCAACAGGATTTTTCTAAAATGTTTTTCATTGCATGGCCACAGATCTACTTCATATAGTAAACAAGTCTCTTAACTCAGGTGTTTTTCCACAGGCCCTGAAAACTGCAGTCATTAAACCGCTCTTAAAAAAGAATAATCTAGATGCTTCAGTAATGAACAATTATAGGCAAACCTCCTATTTCTAGGTAAAATCATTGAAAAGGTAGTTTTGTGTTCCAGTCAGGCTTTCAACCAAACCACAGCACTGAGACTGCTCTTGTAAAGGTCTTCAATGACATCCACTTAAACACAGACAGTGGCAGAACTTCAGTGTTAGTATTATTAGATCTCAGCGCTGCGTTTGACACTGTTGACCACAACATATTACTAGACCGACTAGAAAACTGGGTGGGACTTTCGGAAACAGTTCTGAATTGGTTTGAATCCTACTTAAAGTACAGAAACAACTTTGTTTCTATAGGTAAATACACATCTGAGTTGACAAATATGACATGTGGGGTTCCTCAAGGCTCCATCTTGGGGCCTCTTCTCTTTAACATCTACATGCTACCACTGGCTCAGATAATGAAAAACAACAAAATATGTTACCATAGCTATGCGGATGACACCCACATTTACATAACCATTTCACCAGGAGACTATGCTCCAAGTGCATTGAACAAATCAATGACTGGATGTGTCAGAACATTCTCCAATTAAACAAAGATAAAACGGAGGTAATGGTTTTTGGAGCCAAGACAGAACGTATAAAAGTTAGCGCTGAGCTTCAGTCTGCAATGTTCAAAACAACAGAAATCTAGGTGTAGTCATGGACTCTGACCTGAGTTTCAACAGTCACATTAAAACAATTACTAAATCAGCCTATTAGTGATGTGTCTGTCGCTAACGAGCAGGTTATTTTGAACGGCTCTTTGGTACGAACGAGGGCAACCGAGTTGTACTTGGTGAAAGCCATTCTTTTTATCGTTCAATCGTTGGTCCGATACTCAATGCCTGCCAAAATCCACTCGCCTTTTAAAAAGCTTGATTTTGTTCCCCACACGTATTCTGTGAAGACCCGCCCCTACTCTGATTGGTAGGTTTCAGCACGAGGAGTGAGATGGGGTGGGTCTTAACGGAATACGCGAGAGAGAGGAGTCATAACAAGTGGTACAGGACAGGTAGACGACGTGTTTTTCGGATGGGAAAATGAGCCAAACGCAGCAGCATTTGGATGCACTTCAATCAAAACCCAGGCCGTGATAAAGCGCACCATTTGTAATGGCAAAATATCCTTTGAAGCAGGGTCAACAAATAATCTCCATCGCCACTTAAAAACACAGTATCTAATATTAAGAGTTGCGTGAATTTCATTCAAGGCAAGGCAACTTTATTTACTTAACACATACAGAGGGTAAATTCAAAGTAGTACATTCACTGACATGAATGATATGGCGCCACCTTGTGTCATGTTTACAATGCAGATTATTGACATTAGGTCTGGCAATACAGTCAATCATTATCCTGGTGATTATTTCGTAGATAAACCTAGTAACCCGCCACCCTTTAAAAAAACGGCTCTTTTGAACGGCTCTTTGAAAGGAACGGAGCCATAAGATCCGGCTCCTTTCAAATAGCCATAATTCCCATCACTACAGCCTACTATCACCTAAACAATATATCTAGGATAAAAAGACTAATGTCACAGCAGGATTTTGAAAAACTTGTCCATGCTTTTATCTTCAGTAGACTGGACTACTGTAATGGTGTCTTCACAGGTCTCACTAAAAAATCTATTAGAAAGCTGCAGCTGATTCAGAACGCCGCTGCTCGAATCCTTACTACTGTAACACTAAAAAAGTGGATCACATCACTCCAGTTCAGAAGTCTTTACACTGGCTTCCTTTATGTCAATGAATTGATTTCAAAATACTGCTGCTGGTTTATAAAGCATTGAATGGTTTAGGCCCAAAATACATTTCTGACCTCCTGCTAAATTATGAACCATCCAGAACTCTCAGGTCTTCTGGGACTGGTCTGCTTTCTGCCCCCAGAGTCAGAACTAAACATGGAGAAGCAGCGTTCAGTTATTATGCTCCAAATATCTGGAACCAACTCCCAGAAACCTGCAGGTCCGCTACAACTCTTACTACTTTTAAATCCAGGCTGAAGACTTTTCTTTTTGCCGCTGCTTTTAATTGATATATTCATATCTTAAACTGCACTGTATTTTTTATTATGTTTGCTTTTTAATGCCATTTTCTTAATGTCTTTCATTTTTGTAAAGCACTTTGACTTGCCTTGCCTTGCCTTTATTGGGGTTAGGTTAGTCCCCTACGTGTACCGTTTTGGTTTGAAGACCCTGGTTCGCGGAGGACACCAAAAAAGTCCTAGAAAAGACAACTTAAACTTAACTAATGTCCATTTAAAGAAAAGAGGAATAGTTTTGGCAAAAACTAAAAAGGTACCATGGGGTACAGGAATCCGTTTTGGTTTCAAGACCCTGGTTCACCGAGGATACCAAAAAAGTAATAGAAAGACAAGGTAAACTTAAAGGTGGGGTATGTCATTTTGGAGAAACCAGCTCGAGTGCGCTAGAATTTGAAAATACACAACCGGAAAAAATCTGCCTCTTCCTTCAGACTTCCTTACAGAGCCCCTCCTCCAACACACACAAACGCGCACATGACCAATGAGGGCACGAGATAGGTTTGCGAAAACTAAAAGGTACCATGGGGTCAGATTATAATTTTCCAAAGGGGGGTTTGTTTAGCATGAAACACTTGAAATAACTAAAGGACAAGTTAAACAAGAAAGAGGAAAGAAAGGGAGGTCATAGAAAACTATTTCTGCAAAAAAGTTAGCATTTCAGATGTGTGTATCTCACACGACTGCACTGTAACTTTTATTAATGTATCTTTGCTTTTAAATGAGTGTTTTTAGATATCATTTTATAATATGTTTCTTAATGCTATTAAAGGTGGGGTAGGTAAGTTTGAGAAACCGGCTCGAGATACACTTTTTGTTATATTCCATGGAATGCTCTTAACATCCCGATAGCAATGAATATCTTAAGTGCTTTGACAAAAAATCCATTAAAAATGTCATCTGTGGAAGCCGTAGTACTGTAAAAAGCACGACCAATCATTTTAGCCGGCCCAGCATCAAAATAACTGGATGGCCTACCTGCCTGTCAGCCTTCCATCTGTGCACAAACTTACCTCGTGCCCTCATTGGTCATGTGCGCGTTCGTGTGTGTTGGAGGAGGGGCTCTGTAAGGAAGTGGCAGATTTTTTCCAGCTGTGTATTTTCAAATTCTAGCACACTCGAGCTGGTTTCTCCAAAATTACCTACCCCACCTTTCATGTCTTTCATTTTTGTAAAGCACTTTGAATTGCCGTGTTGAAATGTGCTATATAAATAAACTTGCCTTGCCTTGCCTTGTCTAGAGGATGGGTGAAGAAGATAAAGGGGAAATAGAAAAAGAGTAACCTGCCTTTGTCCGGCCATTTTAAAGCATATAACCTTGGTTAAAGTCTAATTAACCGATGCAAAGTCGAACACAGTGGCTATAAATTAACCCAGAAGTGGGTCAGCTGCAGTTTTGAAGGAAACACATCAACTATTATTTTGCATACAAATAGAATTTGCTTCACCAGTTTCAATGTCTCTGCAAGATTCATCAAGGATTAAACCTTGTAAAAAATGACTACAAAATATGAAGAAAGTAGGAAAAGGTTGTGGCTCCATGTCTATTTATTTTGTATTCAAATGCTGTTCGACCCACAGACTTTCTTCAAGATTAACAATCATTGGTCTTGAGGATCGCCTGAGGGCCGAAACAGTTTCCCTCTTTGAGGTCTCCTTCCATTGATAAGCATCTCAATACATCCAAGATGTGTGTAACCTTTAAAGTATTTAACATGAAATAAAGTCCAAAACACTCTAGATATATATATAAGTTATAGACGCTGGAGTCCTTGATGAAACACTTCTTATTATAGAATTTCAAAAATGTACTGTAGAGACATTCTTTCCCGACCTGGAGACATCCTGAATCGTTGCCAGATACTTCAGCAGTGAACACATTACCTTTCCCCCAGAAAACCTCACGTTTGCGGT